GGGTGGGAGGGAAGGGGGTGGGGGGGGGGGGGGGGGGGGGGGGGGGGGGGGGGGGGGGGGGGGGCGGTTGGGGATGTGACTTTCTCCTCCCCAAAGAATTGAAAACTTTTCATGTTTTCGATCAGTTAAAAGATCCAAAAATAACCATTCAGAAGCATATTAAGAGGGGATGAACACTCACCACCTTTAGAAGTGAAGATAAGAGGTGGACGATCGACTGTTGGAAAAAGACTGCTTGAGGAAAATCTTTTAGAAAACAGCTTTCACAGACAAATTTTTCTTGAAAAGTTTTGATTTCGCGAATCAAATTTTTCCATTGGATTAATAATTTTATCTTTTAAAAATGATATGTATTTTTATGTTTGAAGTGACATCGAGCATGATAAAGGCTTGTATTTCGTTCAAATCAATAATTATCTTTCAAACAAAAACATTGAAGTATATCCGCATTCGGCGGCTAAGTATAAGAAAAAGAAAACATCTTTGCTGTTCTCACTATAGAAGACGAGTACCTATTTCACTGGTTTCTAAATTTTTTCCATCAATTTTTGAGCACAGTCATGAAAAGCTGTGGCCTTCGGTAGTATGAGAAGGTGGGTATAGGTGACGGTGTACCTGTGGGTATTAGTGTCAGTTTGACCAATACCCACTCACCCTTACCTAGACATTCGTATAAATCTATTCAAGACAGAAACTGAAAAAGAAATTATTCAATTGCTGAATAGTAAAATATTGTAAGATTGAATACTAAGACTTGAAGTGTAGCTTCTTTCAAACGTTCTTCCAGATACACAATCAATGCTAAGACACATTGACAGATCTCGAGATAAATATGTACAATACAAATACACTCTGTAGGTTTTCTTGCTAATTTAAATCGCAAATAGTGCCTATAATAACCGAGAAAGTCTACTTTCGGCTTGCATTCACGTTCCCAAAAGTTCAATAGGAATTTTTTGAAAGACTCGATACGACGGCTCTTCAAAGTTTTTTCGAGGATAAAGCAGTAACATTTCTCACAGTAGATTGTACAAGGGAAATTATAACAATCACCATGGTATATACTCATCATACTGACACTGATTCCCGTTTATGTACTTTTCTTGTAAGTTGATCTTTACCATTTTATGGAAGCTTTAAAAAAGTCGTAAACAATTGCAAAAATACTGTAAGAGTTTTATGATCTTTTTCGAACAAAAATTTATCGTCGAGCTCAGTTCAAATTCCTTTCTCGAATTACTTGTCTGGTCACATTGTCATTCCTACATCTTCATTGCCATTGACTAACAACACTAAAATACAGCATTTGCAGCAAAGCACAAACTCTCCAGGAAAAGCTCTGACACTCACCCAAAAAGTTTGAGAAATAGCATCGAAACAAATACAGTCTCTCTTTTTCTTCCAACATTCTACAATATGAATATCTCATCCCTCTCAAACTTTTACCTTGTTATTCATAAAAGAATCGCAAATGTTCGAGTGCTCTGTATCCGATGAGTGATTCTGCTCGTTTTATACTCTTCATTATCAAACAGCCATAACAGACCTTATCGCACTTTTACAGTTTTGAAAAAAGAGTTCTCAATGGATATAATAGCATTGTTCGAAGTCTGGCTCGTCAATTCAAAATTCCTCGTGGAGATCTGAAAGGTATGCCCTCAAACTATAAGCAAAAGATTACGACAAGAATCTATGAAATAATGGTTGTAGATGTGCGAGACAGAGCTGCTAGCCTGGCCTGCTGCCTGCCAAGCGCCTGGCAGGCAGCAAGCCAGGCTGGAGTTATAAATTTTCGCCTGGCCTGATCAGGCTAGAAAATTGTTGACCTGGCCTGCAGGCCAGGCCAGGCTAAAGTTCTTAGCCTGGGTATGATTCAATACCAACATTTACAGTATTCAATTCTAAGAATAAGACGACTTCATGAGTCGATGATGATTAGCTTTGATATTTTCTGTTGATCATCAAGTCAAATCAATGTTTTTATACTTTTTATAAGGTTTTCTGACCGTGTTTGTTACTATTAACTTTCAGTTCTCGGACATTTAGAATTTTTTCAATCTCTTTTTGAATTTTCTCCTTTAATGATACACAGCCACAATTATTTTATAGCACTTTTTTTGCCAAAACTATTTAAAATTTTTCTTACTTATTCAGTCTTATACTAAGGAAGATCGCGTTACTCAGTGAAAGAGTTTCATGGTTCCAAGAGCTGGTCTAAACTAGAATCGAATTCAGAGTTTCGTTTAATGAACATGATGAAGAACTAAGTCTTATCAACTCGTAAAATTATTGTGTCAATAAAAGGCATCTAACCGTAAGATTAGTAGAAGGTTTTAAGCTAACTTTGAGAAGTTCTCATTCGTACGTATTTGAGATTGAGGATACCTTACATATCAGCAAGTATTCAAGATAATCAATACTTTCCAAATCCACGTAGTTATAACTTCATTCCAAAAAAATTCAAATATCTCCACATAAATTGCTAAATTTTAACATCTACTTGATTGACTACATGTTTGAAAGTGTTTCAGGCCTCCCCCCCACTCAAAAATCGATCTCAGCCCAGGTATGTTCAAATGGGCTGAAATTTGGAGCATATGTTGGGGCTGATGTGGAGAGGCTGTGATAAAATTTTCAACTCGATACCACAACGTTTGACTGAGATATTCACCAAACCAGGGCCAAAAATAGGTCATTTTGG